AGAAATGCAGGCCGGCAAGCGGCGAGGTGTGTGGGCTCATGCGGTCCAGCTTTTCAGTGCATCATACAGACCAGTGCAGTGAACTCAAATAAGACTGGAACGCACAATCTCTGGCTTTCCCTCATAAATGAGTGAAGCCAAGATGGCGAACAATGAGGCCTCTCTTGTTGGTATGATCCAGGCCTCTAGTGCGAAAATTTCAAAGGTAAAATCATAATTGCCGCATTATTACCTACGAAATATCCACGTGGAGGCCAGAAAGAAAGGCTTCAAACTGCCGACAAACTGAGCGTTCCAGTCTTATTTGAGTTCACTGGACCAGTGTCGCTTGTATCATAGCAACAGCTAAAGAAAACAATGGCGTTCAAAAATTACTCTACGAAATTGATGAACTTCATCACGTTGGCTCTGCACGATTGGATTCGGAAACAACAAAAGTTACTCATATGCATAATAAATAAAGATTATTTCATGGTTGGCGAGTACGTACGATTTCCATAATAAAAATCGTACAAACGAACCCACCATGAAGTAATTTGTTCACTGTACATAATGTTTGAAACTGTAATAGACTACGTATGTTTGATATGTAATTATTTTGATGGCGTTGAAATCGATCATTTCTTATGTTGTAGCTACTTGCGTGCCGGCTGTATGGGGAAGAGGAGTTTTTGACGATTTCTTATTAATACCTGCTTATAGGCAAATATTTCTCATGCATACACCTGTCGGCGAATTTGCAAAATAATCATCAGAGATGCTCGTCCTATAATAAAGATTAATATTACGGGTAATGCTTCAAAAATTTGCAACAAAATTTTGTTTACATTGGGAAATTATTTTTTTAATTTTACTGTAGTAGCTGCAATCGAAGAATTTTATCAGGTTAACAATAATTTGTGAAATAGTGCGGAACATATCGAATCGATAACGTCTTGGGTGATTAAGCAGAGAACTATAATGTCTATTCAGTAATATTCGCCAAAGTTTGTTCTCTTAGCACAAAAATTCATGCTGAATTTATCCAAAACATTCATGATAGAATCAACATAGTCTTATAGCGTCCGTCAGTTTCGAGTAATTATTGATGAAAGCACACCTGCCGGGAAGGAACTTCAACTGACTTTGATATTTGTATTTTGCCGTCATATTGTATGCTTTGTCTTCGCAGGAACACCTGTATGGAAACGGGCTAAGAATGGATTCTTTCAAAATATTTATAGAATTGTTAGTTTTATTCGCATCCATATCAAAGCAACGTCTAGCAGACGCATCACTTACCCAGAGGTATTTCAAGAAGGCACATGATAATGGCGAGTACTTTATACTTCGTTTTACATTAGTATATACACGAATTGTCCGGAATATTAGAACAAATTAAAGTTTATCTTTCAATCCCTGAACGATTCACCAATGTGACGCTCTTATTTCTGAACTGAAATACTGAATAAATTATATATATTATAAATTATACAACGATCGATAAACGTGATCTTTAAACTAATAGAAAGTATTAGTAATATATCAACGCTATGACCTTTGCAAATCTAGCATGCACGACAGAGACCATGAAGGGAGACATACCTTCTTCGACCTATTCTCAATGATATAAAGCTTTTGTCGTAGGTAGTTTTTGGCCTAATTTCACCAGAATCTCTTAAAGCCTGCTTTTATCTTATATTTGCCGTTATATCGTACCTCCATTCCGGCACAGAAAAGTAAAAACGTTATATTAATTTCATTACTGTTTTCTAATATTGATCATTCATTGATAAACATTATAGTTTTTTGTTTTTTTTCAACTTTTTCGGATATATAGGAATTTATAGAAAACGTGTATAACCATATTGAAAATATGAGTTAAAATATCAAAGTGCATATTTCTCATGAAACAAAAATATGTAACAATTCTTATGAAACTAAACATTTGACAGGAGGGAATTTGCGAAATTTCGGTCTTATCTAAGCAAACCTCAGAACTCTCCCATTCATCAAACTGTTTTGATGCTCCGACTGAAATACTTTACAACAACAAACGATATACGCAGCTGAAGCGAGATTAAAATGGGGCATTTTCATAAGATCCAAAATGAAAGGTAAAATTTAATTGCCAAAATTGGTTTCAATCAATTCCTGATCTAATCAAATTGATTGCAAATGAAATTGATTACTTGAGATATTACAATTTTTTAATAAGATTAAACATGACATATTCTGATCTTTCACATCTCCGGTCCATGGCCGAAGAATGTTATTGAAGTAAATAAATAAATATCGTGCACTTTTATACAAATATTGAGCGTAAAGCTCAAAATTTTCTTGATTGACTATTTTTAAATTCAACAATTCATGAATAAACATTTTGAAACAAAAAACAAGAGTTTCCAGCGAGCTGAAGATTTAGGACGGTCATGCACGTTACAACAATTAACTGCTAATTAAACTGATATAGCTAATTAAACTGATATAGCTAATCCTTCAAATTATTGATCGCAAACCTGCCCTATGCTATAAATTAGTACAACAGTAAATGTTAATGGTACGATCGAGTCTGAACGTCGCTTAAGGGAGGTGAATATCTTTTAAGCGGATTTGATGTTGTACTTATGAAGGCTTTGAATGCTGATGTTTTACATGAGACGGAAAAGTCTGTGATTGGTTGCGTTGTAAACAGCGGAAACTGAACTCTGATGGGACTTTAAATATACATTGATTTGTTCATCCTTTACACGAGCGTCCTCGTTCGTGACGTCATAGAGTCCCGATCATTGTAATATCAATCAATTTTCATAATTGTCAGGCATACATTGACTGATTGACTATTTCATTCATAATGGCCATCTCTCATGATGATCCCTTGATCGCACCAAGCTCGCAAAAATCCATGCCGAGATCAGTGCGCGCGTCTTGTTATTAATTTTATACTTTCACCGCATGTTCCAGCGAATACGGCAAGAAATTGCGGATTTCATTATATCTGAAGTTATTTTGGCATTTTTTGTTAAATAAGGTGAAAGATTGATGGAATAAGACATTTATTTGTCTTTTTATAGAACTTCACTGAGGTCAAAAAATAGACTAGAAAAACAATGATTTATTCATTGCGTCTCACGGGAGTCTGATTTTGTAGTGTTGTAACTGGTCTGGTATTCGGCGGCATTTATCGCGAAAACAGGCAAAAAATGCGTCGCGACATTTCTCTTCGGTTTCAACGGTATACCAATGCATGGTGTTTAACGCTGTTTCATGAACATTTGTTATCGTCTTGTCGAGTTCAGATAATCGCTCTTTCAGTAGGTTTTTTTGTTTGTTTATTAGCGATGTATGTAGGATTTACAAATGCTATTTGTCATTAATATTGAAAAAGGAAGGTCTTCCAACTCTTTGCGAACGTTTTCCTTGTGTCCAAAAAGTTGATATCACACTAAAACAAAGAAAACATTAATTTTGTATTGCTGAAAGGCCGCCATTTAATTTACATAGACGCACAGAATAAATTTGAATAAATCTAAATCCAATTTACCCAAAACTTGAAATGGATGTGACGTCGGCCGGGCAAGTTTTTAATTTCCTCGTTGATTTGTAGACCCTTTTGTGGTTGATGGGTCTATGACGTAGGTTAGCGGTAACGCAACTTCATCAGCTTTTAAGAAAAAAGACTTTTTATTCAAACTGCCAAACGATAATAAATAAGTGTCAGGCAGAGCAACATGCTTTTCGACGCTTGAAATTCCATAAAAAAGCCATATTTTTATCTTCACCGCTTGTTTTTAATGCGCTCTAGGCAGCTCGGTATGGATTTCTATCTGAGAAGGTTCAATTTTGCTCTGATTGACTCAGATCACCTGGTGAACCGCTTGTTTCAATCTATATTTTAATGTTAAATACGAATACTTTCTTTCACTTCTTTGATACAATAGATTGTGTACGGCGATTGCATCATACTATCGGTCCTTTGCTTATTTTTAAGAGCTTTTTTCTATCCAGGCGTCTCATTGGCCCCTGATGATCTTATTTCCAGTCATACAGTCCTTTCCAAACTTGATTGTTCTTTGAAATGTCTTCAAAAAGCAAAATGCGTTGGGTACAACTACAGATCAAAAACACACAAAAATGAAATTAATTGCCAAATCAGCAGTAAGGCTCAAGATAATGATGCGAAGCGGGATGAAAAAAAGGGAGTCTGGGTTTTTTACCAGAATGTTGCCGAAGTTCAATATGTAAGTAAAATAGGCTATGTAATCCTTTTTACCTTTACTGCTGTATGTCATAGAAAAGCAGGTTAATAGCTTCCGCAGTACAAAGTAACTGAACTCTGTTAAAATTCCTTATTGTTTTGACCAATGTGACCCGCAATGTCAATGGCAGATATATTACCAACTCTCTAGATGTATTTCAAAAAGTCATCATAGCATGTGTCAAGGTAATTTTCCTTGAAATTAGGCAACCAAAATGCAAACCGTTATTATTTTGTTTCGATCCCGGGGAACTTAAATTTAAAATTTTTTCAAGATTTTGAAATTTATGAATAAACAATTAATAGAGATTTTTTTAATATGATTTATTGAGTGACAGTTTTTGTATAAATACTTTAAACATACCGAAAAACACATAGCCTAGATATCTAGCTATATAATTATCATTTTGAAAAGAGAATAAATAACAAAATTATTGTTGTTGAAGAAAGGATTAGTAGCCATGCGCATAGTATTGCTTGAACGTAATAATTATTATAATGGAAGAGGAAATTTTAAAAAATTAAATGCTATCGAGTTTTGAAACGATTTATTACAATCTTTCATTTATGTTACATATAATTTTATATAATATATAAACCTGATGCAAGTTATATTTCCTTAGGATATATTCCCTTATCTTGCTGATTTTACGCTTTGTACGAAAACCACAAATAGTAAAGTTAGTTGGAAATATAACTCTTAACAATTCCCTAAATATAGGAAGAACAAAACAACAAGATCAGCCCAGACCAATCAGAGTGGACTCCCATTGCGCGCTTCTCGAGCAGTGACTCGAAACTTTGGATAACTAATGGTTCCTTCTGGTATGATAGAGTCACTCCGTATGGGAATGTTAATGATCCAGTGAACAATTTAACTATGATTTCGACCGCTTTCTGGGAGTTGAAAGGACAAGAAATCAAAATTACAAGAAGTGATGATTCCAGTCATACGGCATTGTTACAGACCACTTCAAATTGCCTTCAAGGTAAAAGTAAAACTATATACCTTATGGTATATATCGTTAAGATTTGTATTCAAGTAATTAAGAGAAGGTAAATATAACCTGGAATTGTTGCTGCTCAAGAAAATTTACTGAAATTCTACATAAAATTTGTTCAAACGAGTTAAACTCGAGCTCCGAGTTTTTGACAGTGAATCTTAATACCATAACACCATTTTACTTTAAATATACCCATACATGCAACATTACAACGAAAACAATTAATTGAATTTTTACTGATACAAATAAACATTCGGTGCAATGACTGTAATCTCTCTTCCCAAGGTTTTAAGGGCGTTAGAAGTGACGTACGCTGTCATTAGCAAAGGGAAAGTCGATTAATAGAAAATCCTTTCTTTAAAAGTTTCAATGTACTTCTTTGCTAAATCTTTTGAATATCATATAACTATGCGTAATGTCTCATTACTTGCATGCACTTAAAACTCGTATTGGCCAAATTTTACTTCAGCCAACACTTGCATGCATGTCCAATATACGAAGCGTTTATTTAAAACTATTTAGGTATGACTTTCCGATCCAAAATAACAAGTTATGGAGATTTTCGCAACGTTAAAGCTTGGGCGGTTGACGAATGCCTGGGGAGATGTCCTGTTATTTACGGAGGTCAGTACAGAACAACGGCCGGATTTAAAGAGCACAGCTGCAGTAGTGATATACAGAACAGCAGCTACATTGGATTTTGGTGTGATTGGAGTTCAGGTGATGGTGCTATAATGATGATTGGTGGAGGAGGAAGTGGTTGTAATAGAGCAGATCATGGTATTGGAATAACTGAGAAAAATGATGCAAATTTTGGTGCGTCAGATGGTTATAATTTCGGAGATGACGCCAATGGTTTCCAACCTACAACATATGCACTGAACCTGTGGGTTCGATAAAACAACATTCCTTGTACTTTTCGCAGTAATTTAGGGAGATATTGGTAGATTAGAAGTCGTATATTCATCATTTTTTCGCTTATTTTCCCTTATACTTTTGGTTACTTGTTAATTGCAGTCAAGGGAATGCCGCCAAGGAACTCTCACATGCGTTTGAAAAGATAATCACGCAAAAATGTTTGTTTGATCGATAGTGGAACTAAAGCTCACGTGCCATATTGTGTTGGAAATGTGATATTACAGTTACTTTGTATAATGATTTGGCGCCGACTTCGTATTTTGCTTTCAGAATGGGTATAGTTCGATGAAAAACGTTCTTCGGAAGTAGCTCAGTGAAGAGACATTGGCTTTGCGCGAAGCTTTGTGAGAAGATTAATGCATGTATTGCGGCGAAGTTTAATGCATGTATGCTGCACATGCAAGACAATGCAAAATTAATAAGCTATAGCAGGCATAAACTCAGTGATTCTATCGAGGTTATAATTTTTTCCCATGTATTTGCCATACCTTAAGAGGTATTGTGATTTTGCTAATCCTTGCAAATTTTATTGTTTTCCTATTTAGGTCCATGCATTTATAATAGGGAGCTTTAACATGCAGTGACTACGAGTAGGAGATTCGTCATTCTCGCGCGTTGTTTGCTTACACCATCAGCCAAACTCGTAGTCGCCGAACTTTTAAGTACGAATTTTTTTTATAAATCTCGTACTCGAAAGCCTAACGACTACGACTTTTGGCTGATGGCGTAATCAAACTACGCGTGAGAATGTGATGAATCTCGTACTCGTATATATAGTCGCTGCTAAAGCTCTCTAATATCGTCCTGGGGCCGATTGTATAAAACTCTGAACTACATTTTAAGTGCAGTTAAATCGTAGTTAACTAGAAAATACATTATTTTGATTGGCTAATTCTGCCAGTAACTACATGTAGTAAAAGTTAAGTACGTTTTTATACAACTGGCCCCTGAAATATATATTATGCATAATTTGGTAACAAACGTTTAACTACTGTATAATTTAAAGGGCAATTTATGTTTAATATATTATTGATTGAACTCGTTTTGAATTTTTAATATACATAAAAGCTTGAAGACATGATTTAGAATTAAATTGACAAAATTTCTCATGTTTTGAGTTTCTTTAAACATGAACTCTGTGTTTTATTCATTAGAAATATAGTGAACTGAAACGGGTAATACTGAAGTATTCTGACATGACAGGATATTATAGAAATAATAGTATTAGTATATAGCGAATAGTAGCAACTCAATATGTTGTCTGCATGGCGTTTGTTCACATTACCAACTTTAACCCATGTTTAATTACTTCATGGAGCCCTCAAGTATCGACTATATACTTTAAAAATAAATATATTTCGTCTCTACGATAGTCATTAATACATATCAACGTTCAACGCCAACATTATTTTGTTAAATAAAACGTAAAAAATTAATTGTATTTCTATATGCGAAATGCTAAAACCTAGCTGCTGATGAATATATAGCCTGGAAATCCCTTTTGCACTGCAATAAAACCGCCTCTTGCGAGTTGCGACCATGTATTTTCTGTTAATTTTTAACATGTGCTGTTTAACGAATTAAGGGAATCATGTCCATGTATGGAAATTTATAGAGTCAGACAGTGTTTATACGTTAATTTCTTTCCACGGAATTCTCGCAAAATTATGTTTATTTAAACATATATTATATAGTGTTAAAGTCGTCAATGCCATTTAATTGCTTCTGCAAGCACACCTGCCAGGAGCTTTGCGGCCTTGCCTGAACCGGATTATCATTTCGCATTCATATTTCATTCTTTCTCTCCGCAAGAACACATCAAACAATACGGAACGATGAAGTATGTCAAAATGAAACCAAACATGTTATTTTTCCTCGCAATTATACCTCAGCAATATCTGTCAGAGGCATCTATTACCGAAACGAATTTTAAGAAAATACACAATGATGGTAAGTTCAAAATGTATACACGATATATACAAGATATATATAATTTTCATGTACAGATGCAAAATATTAGTTAAACTGTTGGTCTGGGAAACCAATCAACTCTGCACTGATTGTATTAGAAACTTTTTCTATATACACAAAATTAGAAGTAATAATTCCATTTTAATTGTACTATTATTATGTGATAAACGCGATCTATATAAATTATTATAGTAAAAGATGAATGTATATATAGCTATATAAATACAGCAATAGATAGCTAAGCCTCTTGTGAATCCAGCATTAATGTACAGGGGCCAGTAGCACTCTTACATCTTCCATTTCTCTTGAATATCATTCAACTTAAACACGCTGCACACAATAGTTTTTTATATATGTAGCTATAGTTGTAAACATTGTCGTTAGTATTAAAGTATAAAAACGTTTTAGTTTGCTTGTTGAATAAAACAGTAGATTTTGAGCTTAACCACCGGTTAAGCCAAACAGGCTTGATACCGCAACCGGCTATTGAATGAGAAAACGACACTTCTTTGCTTTAATATCTCGTCCCGTTTGATTGTTTGTGTCTTACCGTTCCAAGAAGGAATATTCGATTTGAAACGAACTGAAACGTGGCTCATCGTGGGAAAGTTTTATTGAATGAGTAGCTATATATCCAAATCTCTAGGCCTGTTGATATCTCAAGGCGATTTTGCTTCATGAATTCGATTTTAAAAATCAGAGGATTCACAATGCCCCTATATTTGCCATAAATATTAATCGCAACTAAAATTGCAGCCATAAGTCTGTAAACGGGCTTTCAAATTATAGACTATTTTTCTTAGCATAAAGAATATATATACACGCGCGAGACTCCATTTTTTTCATCATCCTAAAAAAAGTTTATCTTAGTTTAAATTCAATATCATTTGAAGTCATTGTACATGCTGTGAAAATAAATGAAAAGCAATTAAATTTTAATTTCCGAATCCCACTTAAGTCATCAATTCTCATTTAAGTCACTTTTTTTATAAGACGTCCTTTTTTTTAAGACGTCGAGTGTTTCATTCTAATTTTACTTTAACATTAATATGCCGCTTCAATATAATACATCATTTGTCGTTATGCACTATTAATGAGTTGTGAAGAAAAACAGTTGCGCATGCTGATATTAATTCACTTTTAAAATTTATACGGATTCAGTCTTACACCTTGACAATTAAAAAGTATTCATTGACAACAGTTGCAAGCTGAAATTATAACCAAATATTAATTGTTATCAATTGACTGATTCTGTCATTCGTAATGCCATAGATAGACCGCTTATTGCGGCAAATATTGATATATTCATATTATATAGTAACAAAAGCGTACAAAAAAAGGGGGAACACATGCAGGGAAACTTAATTGGGGGGGCGTGTGTATATTCCATAGAAACAATAGACATAGAATGCGTACTGATACCTCTTCCCTTATAAAAATTTGTCTCCAAAGATGGCGGATTTATAAGGGCATTTTTCCTCGTTTCATACTCCTGCGAGGAGTTTTTTGTGCGCGGTCGCGACGAGCGAGATATGAATGTGAGTGAGTTTGAGAGAAAAGCTTGTTTTTGTTTTTGTTTTTTTCACGCACTGGAGCACTAACTATATAGTTTTGGTTTTGATAACATTGTGTGATGAATGTACTGATGGAGGCTGATCAGCTGTTCCTAGCTTTCGATCAATCTTGTTTCAAGCGTACATAAGTCATAATACGGAAAAAATGGAATCCTGCTTCGCTGTCGACATTATAACGCAGTATTTACTGTGTGAAAAATAAAAAATCACCTACACAAAGACAAGGCATAACTTTTAGAGTGTGGAGTACATAAATAACATTTGATCTCCTCTGGTACTGAGGTACGCTAAATGATGTTTTTTATTGTATTCAACTCGTTTTATGTGTTCTTATTTATTCACAAAATGCTCGAGAAGCGAAATAAAATATTATAGTCATAGTCATTTCTCTTCCCACGGCTTCAACTATTTATGCAGAAATCGCTCGTTTTAAAGTGGAAACCTGTTAAAAAAAAAAGAGTGATATGTTTTTCGTAGCTAGGCAAAAAGGTTTTTAACCATTTATCGTTGCATCAAAGCAAGGTCATGGGACAAATAATCAAGCTCAAGCCAAATAGCAATTTATGTAAACAAACGGTTGCATGTAAAAAACGCGAAAATCCTCAAAAAACAAAGCACAGTTGAAAAATTCGCTAGACAATAGTAATTGACAACCTATTACAATAAGCATTATTCTCTACTAACTATGTTTCCTACACAACAATGCATATGAATACAGTATATATGGCGATAAACCGGTGGTTTGTCAGTTGTGTGCTCAACGGTGAAAATCGACTCTTTCTCGATTATCGATCATCGCTTGTCGCTTTTTCTGTTTTTCTGGGGTTTTTTTTCTGTTCTGCAACTTAATGCCGAACTGGGTTTGGCATTTTTGCCTCTGTGTGCTAATAATTGTCTGTAAAATATGCGCTTATACCTAAAATTTAAGTTTTGAGTTTAAAGTTTTTTTGAAAGATTTTTCACTCCTGGCGAGATTCAAAATGGCGCATTTATAGGGCACAGCATGAAAAAAATATGGGACACGTATTCGTGATATGTACGCATTCTATATCTATTATTTCTATGGTATATTCATATATATTCGTCCTATGCCCGGCTGATTTCTTTTGTACGCTATTGTTCCTACGGTATATAAACATGAATGTATGAATATACACCCCTCCATTAAGCGGTTTAGCTGCGGCCCTGCGGACATAAGAGGAATATAAGGATATAAATTATCTAAACTCCCAATTACTAGAAATACATGCATGCAGCAACCCCTCGCCTCGGTTAAGCGAAATTAGTTAAGCATAGGGATGGTGACATGATAGTTGGAAAATTTTGTGTGGGTTGGGGTGTTTGGAGGGTACTTGGTATTGTTGGTATGTGAGAAGAGAAGTATGGAAATATATTTCTGGAAGCGGAAGCACTGTAGTCATAGCAACTCGCAACCAATATCGCAACGGCCGAATATTTTCAAAGAATACAGTTTACCCTCATATTTTTGTGGAAAAAAGGCAAAAATACGACAAGATTCTAACCATTTTCTGGAAGTTAAGTTACTCATATATAGTCACTGTTATGGTAAATAATTTAAATTATTAATTACGATTAAATATAACATCAGACGTCTCATACGACTTCCGAAGTTTTATAAATGAAATTATAATGTCGTCTATCACATAACACATTCAGATTTGTAGTGAAATACGTTTGAGAATTGAGAATACTAAAGTTGTGTTTACCACAAAAGAATGACTTTTTATACCTGTGCCGGGTATTATTTTCAAGTGTAAAATCTTCCGACTTCATTATACACGGTGAATTCGGTCGAAAATTTAGTCTTGTTTTTTTTTTGTTAAACCGTAAAAACTAAAAAGTCGTGACCACATTTGAGTTTCCCTCTAATGTAATTAAAAAATATATATACTTCATATTTATGAAAGTATAAATAATATGAAAATATATTTATAAGTTTCTTCAAAATTTTGCGAAATGACAGTTATGCAGGTTTAAAAATACAAATATTTGTCTCGACCAATCAAGAGCTTAGTAGTTTACACTGGCGCATGCGCATAACGTAGAAGACCGTCCATGGCGTGAGGTTCATTGCATAATGGCGGACAACTTTGATTTCGCCTTTGCACATCGTGGGTGTAAATATCCGAGCGGAATTAGTTATCTCGCACGGTGCTCCGCACCGGCTCGGGGATGATATCGACTTTTTCAAAACTATATGTATTAGTTTACTTTATACTAGAAATACATGCGTCTTAAACGAAGCAAAATATTTCCTGAGCCAGCTGCCAGCCAGACCTTACCCTTCAGATTACTTTGCTTTATTAAAACATAAACTAAATGTCGGCGGTGTCTCAGAAGAAGGAGAGCTTCGAGACAAATCTCAATTAAACGTGCAAAATGCCAATCTTAATAAGTGATATATTTGTAGAACAAGATTTATTTGAATTTCCAAGGGGACTGCTTCAGAATTGCAATCAATGAACCGCGTAGACGGGTGGGCTTGGGGGTTGCTTTAGCCCGCCATAAAACTTTTCCTATAGATGTTTTCACTTCCGCGTTGAGATAAATAGGGCTAAGCAACATTTTAATTAAAGCTTATACATGAAGTTCACAGAGGTGACAGAGCACACAACCACATGAAGGCTCGGAAAAACTTCATTATAATTATTAATTTTATTCATCACCGAGCCAGTGCGGAGAGCAGTGCGAGGGTACAAATACCTTTAAGATTGTGTTTGTTTCAGAATCGGCTACATCAGCTATCGGGTTATTTACGTCATTTCATTAACTTATTTACGTTGTGCATGTGTTTAGTTGGAAGTGATTATGAGAGTCAATTTTCTTGATTGCTTTATGACGATGGTCTCAGAATTTTTAGAAGTTTTAGCATGAAAGATTTACTTATAGAAAATTAAAATTTTACTGGGGATTCTATTTAGGACTTTGATTTTCCCCTCAACACTCTCTAACTCTCTGCGCACCATTCAGCAAAACTGGGCATATGAGTAGGCTTGCTTCTTCTTCGAGAACACCAGTTGCGTTTCCTGAAACGCTCCCGGTTTGATATAAAAATTATTTTTATTAGTTGATCGTTTATTTGGCGATTATTTTTCAATCAGGCGACTCATTGTCAGCTGACGTGATGATATCCAGTCACATCGTTAATTCCGTAATTGGCTGCTCATTGAAATGTCTTCAACAAACAAAGTGCGTGGGATACAATTACAGGCAAATAACAGAAAAAACTGAAACTAATTGTCAACTGAGCAACCAAACTGAAGAAACTGGCGTTAAAAAAGTGGGGAATAGAGATGGCAATTGGATGTTCTTCCAAGATATAGAAGATCGTTATGTGAGTATTACACCCTTGTGTACATAAAATTATGTAAAAAAAACTATCCAACTTTTCCCAATTTGTGAGCTGCTTTAAAATTTGCTTGTTTTCAAAGCCACAAATTCAACCAAATATTAGATAATTTCTAAAGACGAATGGAATAAATTGAAGTTGCACCTTTTATAGCACGCTGTATACATTTTATAATAATAGATAAACAGTTTTTTCTAATACTGATTAACGCAATTCAATGTGATCAAATTGAAGCTTTAAGTTGCCTATATTAGTCCACTATATCAAATGAATATTGTTTTAACCTCTAAATTGACCTTATCCAACTTTTCAGTTTGAGTCTTGTTTATTTTAAGAATAACCTGGACGAGAAGAAATGGACTCTCATTGCGCGCTTCTCGAGCAGTGACTCTAAATTTTGGATTAAGGATGGTTCCTTCTGGTATGATAGAGTCACGCCGTATGGAAATGTTAATGATCCAGTGAACAACTTAACTATGATTTCGACCGCTTTCTGGGAGTTGAAAGGACATGAAATGAAAATTACAAGAAGCGATGATTCCAGTCATACGGCGTTATTACAGACCACTTCAAATTGTCTTCAAGGTAAAAGTAAAACTATACACGCGTATGGTATGGTTACGATTTGTATTAAGTAAGCGAAGGTAAATAGCCTTGTTGATGCTTAAGAAAATTTTCTGAAATTCATAAAATATGTTCAAAGTGGTTGAACTAGAGCTTTTACCATTTTACTTTAAATATACCCACACGACATTACAACGAAAACAATTAATTGAATTTTTACTGATACAATTAAACATTCGGCGCAATGACTGTAATCTCTCTTCCCCAAGGTTCTAAGGGCGTTAGAAGTGACGTACACTTTCATGATTAGAGCGAAAGTCAATGAATAGAAATTAACTTCTTTGCTAAATCTTTTGAATATCATATAATTATCCGTAATGTCCCATTACTTGCATGCACTGAAAACTCGCATTGGCCAAATTCTACCTTGCATGCATGTCCAATGTACGAAGCGTTTATTTAAAACTATTTAGGTATGACATTCCGATCCAAAATAACAAGTTATGGAGATTTTCGTAACGTTAAAGCTTGGGCGGCCGACAAATGCCTGGGGAGATGTTCGGTTATTTACGGAGGTCAGTACAGAACAACAGCCGGTTTTAAAGAGCACAGCTGCAGTAGCGATATACAGAGCAGCAGCTACATTGGATTTTGGTGTGATTGGAAATCAGGTGATGGTGCTGTAATGATGATTGGTGGAGGAGGAAGTGGTTGTAATAGAGCAGATCATGGTATTGGAATAACTGAGAAAAATTATGCAAGTTTTGGCGCGTCAGAGGGTTATAATTTCGGAGATGACGCCAATGGTTTCCAACCTACAACATATGCACTGAACCTGTGGGTTCGATGAAACAACATTCCTTGTACTTTTCACAATTAGGGAGATGTGGGTAGATTAGAAGTCGTATATTCATAATTTTTTCGCTTATTCTTCGAAACTTTTCGCTTATTTTCCCTTATACTTTTGCTTACTTGTTAATTGTGACCGGTCAAGGCAATGCCACCAAGGAACTCTCACATGCGTTTGAAAAGAAAATAACGCAAAAAAGTTTTTTCGATCGATAGTGGAACTAAAGCTCATGTGCCATATTGTGTTGAAAGTATAATGTTATAGTTACTTTGCATAATGATTTGGCGCCGACTTCGTATTTTGCTTTTAGAATGGTGCATGCATAGTAATAAACAAAAACGAAATTCGGGCATAGCTCGATGAAAAACGTTCTTCGCGAGTAGCTCAGTAAAGCGACATTGGCTTTGCGCGAAGCTTTGTGAGAAGATTAATGCATGTATTGCGGCGAAGTTTAATGCATGTATGCTGCACATGCAAGAGAATGCAAAATTAATAAGCTATAGTAGGCATAAAGTCAGTGATTCTATCAAGGTTATAATTTTTCCCATGTATTTGCCATACCGTAAGAGGTATTGTGATTTAGCTAATCCTTGCAAATTTATTGTTTTCCTATTTAGGTCCATGCATTTATAATCGTTTTGAATTTTTAATATACATAAAAGCTTGAAGACATATGCATGATTTAAAAATAAATTGCCTAAATTTCTCATGTTTTGAGTTCTTTAAACATGAACTCTGTATTCACTCAGAAATATAGTGAACTGAAATAGTAATAAGTATTCTGACATGATTTTGTTAAATAAAAGGTATAAAAAATTAATTGTATTTCTATATGCGAAATGCTAAAACCAAGCTGCTGATAAATATATAGCCTGGCAATCCCTTTTGCACTACAATAAAACCACCTCTTGCGACCATGTATTTTCTCTTAATTTTTAACATGTACTGTTTAACGAATTAAGGGATTCATGTCCATGTATGGAAATTTATAGAGCCAGACAGTGTTTATACGTCAATTTCTTTCCACAGAATTCTCGCAAAATTATGTTTATTTAAACATATATTATAGTGTTAAAGTCGTCAATGCCATTTAATTGCTTTTGCAAGCACACCTGCCAGGAGCTTTGCGGCCTTGCCTGAACCGGATTATCATTTCGCATTCATATTTCATTCTTTCTCTTCGCAAGAACACATCAAACAATACGGAACGATGAAGTATGTCAAAATGAAACTGAATATGTTATTTTTCCTTGCATTTATACCTCAGCAATATCTGTCAGAGGCATCTATTACCGAAACGAATTTTAAGAAAATACACAATGATGGTAAGTACAAAATGAATACACGATATATACAAAATATATATAATTTTCATGCACAGATGCAAAATATTAGTTAAAATGTTGGTCTGGGAAACCAATCAACTCTGCACTGATTGCATTAGAAACTTTTTCTACATGCACCAAATTAGAAGTAATAATTCCATTTTAATTGTATATTATTCTGTGATAAACGCGATCTCCATATGATAGTAAAAGATGAATGTATATATAGCTATATAAATACAGCAATAGATAGCTACCTACGCCTGTTGGGAATCCAGCCTTGTACATGCAGGGGCCAGTAACATTCTTACATTGTACATCTCTCTTGAATCATTCAACTTGAAAATGCTGCACTGAATTTTTTTATGTATTGTTGTAAACATTGTCGTTGTATTAAAGTATAAAAACGTTTTAGTTTGCTTGTTGAATAAAACAGTAGATTTTGAGCTTAACCACCGTTTAAGCCAAACAAGCTTGATACCGCAACCGGCTCCTGAATGACAAAACGACACTTCTGTCCCTATTTCCCATCAATATTAATCGCAACTAAAATTGCAGCCATAACTCCAACTGCAAACGGGCTTTCACATAATTATAGACTATTTTTCTTAGAATAAAGAACATATATACAGGCGCGGGGCTCCAATATTTTACATCATCCTAAAAAAATTGCGAAGTTTAAATTCAATATCATTTGAAGTCATTGTACATGCTGTGAAAATTAATGAAAAGCAATTAAATTTTACTTTCCGTATCCCACTTAAGTCATGAATACTCATTAAATTTTACTTTTCTAAAATCCTGCTTTATAAGACGTCGAGTGTTTCATTCTAATTTTACTTTAACATTAATATGCCGCTTCAACATAATACATCGTTTGTCGTTTATGCACTATTAATGAGTTGAGAAGAAAAACAGTTGCGCACGCTGGTATTAATTCATTTTTAAAACGTGTACGGATTCAGTCTTACACCTTGACAAAAAGTTTTCATTGACAACAGTTCTGTCATTCGCAATGCCATAGATAGACCACTTTTGAGGTGAATATTCATATATTTATATCATAGTAACAATAGCGTACAAAATTAACCAGTCGAACACATGCAGGGCCGTAGCTAGAAACTCAATTGGGGGGCGGGTGTACATTTATATATTCGTCCTATGCCCGGCTGATTTTTTTTGTACGCTATTGTTCCTACGGTATATAAACATGAATATATGATTAAGCGGTTTACCTGCGGCCCTGCGGACATAAGATGAATAATTATAAGGATATATCTAAACTCCCAATTATGATATCGACTTTTTAAAAACTATATATTAGTTTACTAAATACTAGAAATACATGCGTGCAGCATCCCCTCGCTATCTTAAACGAAGCGAAATATTTCCTGAGCCAGCCAGACCTTACACTTTAGATTACTCTGCTTTATTAAAACATAAACTAAATGTCGGCGGTGTTTCAGAAGAAGGAGAGCTTCGAAACAAATGTCAATTAAACGTGCAAAATGCCAATCTTAATAAGTGATATATTAATTTAAAAAACAAGATTTATTTGAATTTTCATGTTCTCCCACATGTTATCGCAAGGGCACTGCTTCAGAATTGCAATCAATGGACCGCGGAGACGGGTGGGCTTGCTTTAACCCCCCATATAACTTTTTCAATAGGTATTTTCAATTCCGCGTTGAGATAAATAGGGCTGAGGAACATTTTAATTGAAGCTTACATGCAAGATGCGAAAAACGAGATTATAATTATCCCCGAGCCGGTTCGGAGCGCCGTGAGGGTACTAATTCCGCCCGGAGATTAGGAAGTTTTGATGAAACAGATATCACTTTAACGCCAATATAGAGTCAGCTGCAATCATTACAAAAATTCAATAATCGAAAAACAACATTCGACATATAAGGGGGTAAGGTCTGGCTAGCTTGGGAAATATTTTGCTTCGTATAAAATAGCGAGGGGATGCTGCATGCATGCATGTTTCTCTAGTAATTTTATATACAGTGAGCAATATTGACACAGTGGGGTTAAAGCTGCCTGTAATTTAATTTTTTTCTTGCGGGAACTTTTAATGCAAAGTTGGCGATTTTCAGTTTCTGCCTCACCCCCACTTTTAATTGCTTTATGACAATGCTCTCCGATTTTTATATTAAAGTTTCCCTTAAATGCATCTTTGTTTAGCGTGAAAGAGTTAATGATAGAAAATTAAAATTTTACTAGGGGTTCTCTACTTGGCCCCTCAACACTCTCCAACCCTACGCACCCCCTTCAGCAAAGCTATACATATTAATAGCCTTCCTTCCTTACGGCACGCTTCCGGTTTGATATAAAAATTATTTTTGTATTAGTTGTTTATAGTTGATGGTTTATTTGGCGATTATTTTTGCGCACATAGTTTGTTTGCACGTAATTAAACTTTCTCAGGTGATGGCCAGAGCTCGCGGGCCGAAAGCTTAAAAATTTAATAAATTACATTGTGTAAACCACAAGCAATTAACAACTAGATTATTTTTCAATCAGGCGACTCATTGTCAGCTGATGTTATGATATCCAGTCACATCGTTAATTCCGTAGTTGATTGCTCATTGAAATGTCTTCAACAAACAAAATGCGTGGGATACAATTACAGGCAATTAATAAAAAAGAATGAAATTAATTGTCAACTGAGCAACAAAACTGGAGAGACTGACGTTAAAAAAGCGGGAAATAGAGACTGCAATTGGATGTTCTTCCAAGATATAGAAGATCGTCATGTGAGTATTATACCCTTGTGTACATGAAATTATGTATAAAAAAACTATATGTCATGGTATACCTGTGGACTACCATGTATGGATATTAATTTGCATGCCCATAGTTATAAAGAACCGCCATGTTTGAATGTAGTTAGTTAATCTTTATACTTGATCTTTATCAGTTCTCTTTATTTTTTTTTTCTACTCAATTATATATTTATAAAACAAGAATATAAAACTATACAACTTTCCCCAAGCAATTTGTGAGCTGCTTTAAAATTTGCTTGTTTTTAAAGCCACAAATTAAACCAAATATTAGACAATTTCTAAAGACGAATGAAATAAATTGAAGTTGCACCTTTTATAGCACCCTGTACACCTTTTATAATAATAGATAAACAGTTTTTTCTAATACTGATTAACGCAACTCAATGTGATCAAATTGAAGCTTTAAGTTACCTATATTAGTTCACTATATCAAATGAATATTGTTTTAATCTCTACAATGACCTTATCCAACTTTTCAGTTTGAGTCTTGTTTATTTTAAGAATAACCTGGACCAGAAGAAATGGACTCTCATTGCGCGCTTCTCGAGCAGTGACTCTAAACTTTGGATTAAGGATGGTTCCTTCTGGTATGATAGAGTCACTCCGTATGGAAATGTTAATGATCCAATGCACAATTTAACTATGATTTCGACCGCTTTCTGGGAGTTGAAAGGACATGAAATGAAAATTACAAGAAGTGATGATTCAAGTCATGCGGCGTTATTACAGACCACTTCAAATTGCCTCGAAGGTAATTTTATATACATAGACATATTAGTAAGCTTAAGCAAGAGACGTTTTTGACACGTACGGTGACGGGAAGTAAAGTTTTTGTTTTTCACTAATCACAATCCTTGACCCACTCTTTTGACGTTACTCATTCTGTTTGTGTTGTCAAAAACGTCACTTGCTTAAGGCTCATTCAGTAGTATTAATTGGGGACATGTCGCAGCTCTCGTAAGCTTTCGTCCAATTGGATAATGCTTTTCTATGCTTTCTAAAGAACGAAGCTATGCTATTTGTTTAAACAGAAATGTATTGTAAAGTTCAGCCAATGAAAATCATTCTTGCGAGGAGCTGCGACACTACCCATTAATTGTATCGGTACTGTTTAGGTGCAAAAAACCAAAGGTAAATGTGTGACCTCCAACTTACTGTTGATGCCTAACCTTTATCTAGGAGGATAACGTATGCAATGTAAAATATATTAAAAAAATTCACTACAATTCCACGGGAAATTACACAAAATTATTTCATGATCAACTGGTATCTCTAGCACTCTGGCTCCGAGCTCACATTGAATCCATAAGTATTCCCAGTCAACCCCTCAGTGAGTCTATAAATATCCCTACACAACATTACAACGAAAGCAATAAAATTATTGGTAGGGTGTCAGAAATAGAATGGGGATTTTGTTTGAAACTCTTTAGGTATGACATTCCGGTCAAAAATTACAAGTTATGGAGATTTTCGTAATGGCACAGCCTGGGCAAGTGACAAGTGCCTAGGGAGTTGTCCAGTTATTTACGGCGGTCAGTACAGAACAACGGCTGGTTTTGGAGAGTACAACTGCAGTGATACTTTGCAGAACAGCAGCTACATTGGATTTTGGTGTGATTGGAGTTCAGGTGATGGTGCTATAATGATGAATGGTGGAGGAGGAAGTGGTTGTAATAGAGCAGATCATGGTATTGGAATAACTGAGGAAAATGAAGCAAAGTTTGGCGCGTATTGGGGTTATAATTTTGGAGACGACGCTATTCGTTTCTCACCTACAACATATGCGCTTAATCTTTGGGTTTGTTGAAATTTCTCTTCCTGTAATTATTTAAAATTGTCTTAAATAGGATAGACTTGTTAGCTGGTTTCGGCGCACTGTGTCGATAAAGTAATAAAAATAATGGATTGGTTATTGCACAGTCAAAGGTTTAAAAATGTATACAATTTATATAAAAAGTATATAAATAAATATAAAAGGACAAGGGATAGCGAAAAACAGTGAGATTAAATTTTTTTAAAGCATGTAGTTTGTAGTGTTTTACGTCCGTTTAGCGGGAGTAACAATCTCATACCATAATTTTTAGGGAGCGTTAGCAGTGACTAGGAGTGCGACTACGAGTACAAGATTCGTCATTCTCGCGTTTTGTTTGTTTACGCCATCAGCCAAGACGCGTGGTCGCCGGGTTTTTGAGTACAAGTTTTTAAAAGCTCCCTATCAGGGCGCTTATAAAGGCGGATTTCCACTTACAGCGAATTCGTTCGCTAGCAAAATATTTGTATATTTTCTTTTGAATTTTAACAGCATAAAAAAATTAGTGGGACTTGAAAATATGCAAAAAGAAAAAGAAAATATGCAAATATTTCGCTAGCGAACGATTACGCTGTAAGTGGAAATCCGCCTTAAAGAAGGTGAAAGCGCTTACTGCGCGCCGCGATCGATGTGTGATGCGGAAGTGGACTGTGGGATGAGCGTGATTTTGTCAAACTCTTGGGCAAAAGTGGCCAATAGTGTGCTTGGGATTGTTGTTATATTTTGGCTATTATCTCACTGAAGAGGGCCGTAACTAGAACGACAATTGGAGGGGGGTGTTATTCATATATTCAGTACTGCCCTACGGATTTTCAGGCCGAACTGAATATATGAATAACCTCCCCCCACCCCAATTATCGTTCTAGTTACGGCCCTGTCGACGGTTCGAGTAGTAGTCGATAAATGACATTACCGGAAGTTGAGGCCAGCTCCATGCAGCAAACTCTAATAAAATTCTACATTAATTTTGCCTCTCGCTAGTCAGGTATTCTACTCCGGACTAGCACTGGAGATGAGACACACACTTTGTGGAAGCATGGAAGTACTGAGCTATAATTTCCTTCAGTGCCTTTCAGGAAAATACTAATTATTAATACAGCAATATACATATTATAGCGTTTCACAGGCGGCGAATTGTTTTAAATGCAGTAGATGATTACAATAATTGCTACATAGAGTACAACTGTATAATTGAACACGTATATATACTTCTAATAAAAAAAACATTATGATTCTAGGACTCCTTCATACTAATTACTATAATTCACATTGTTTCGGCCGGACACGCTTGCTGGATAAACTTTCTATAGCCGCGTTTACACTACGTGCTTTGACCTGGCCTGGACCAGGCCTAGGCCTACATGACTCGCTAGATAAACAACGTTCACATCATGTGAACGTTGTTTATCTAGCAATTTAGCAAATGCACTTCTGATTACCTGTCAAAAATTCCGGCATTAAATTAAATCGAGTTATCTTTTAATGAGCAATGCTACATCATATATATTCATATTGAAATCAATGAAATCAATCATTTAAGGAGTTAAAAGTCTTGTCTAATGACTAGTATTCGGTTGAAGGACAAATTTTCTCTCTTAGCTACAGTTCTATACCATCATCACGTCGGCGATTGATCCGTAGCAATTTAGCAAATGCACTTCTGAATCTGGCAGATCTTAATGCGTAGCAGAAAAAATTAACGCTTGAATTCATCAGAGCAAACAAAATATGGATATCACGGAACCAGTGAAGAGTCGTACAACTGCAGTCTTCACAAAAAATTACGAAATATATCATCACCATAGAGGGACCATAACAGCACAGGAGAGCTATAAGAACGATTAGAAACATTTGAGTGATTTTGGCTTCCAAGAGTTGTTTCTTTGCCGCCATACAATCTACATTAAATGTTGACTGATTTTCATCATGTGAGATTTCATTTGGGTCTGCCGCGGTGGAAGAAGTTGTTTCAATTTTCAAACTGCGGGATCTTAACTTCCTTCTCATTAAAGTGCAGGTTATACAAATTATTATAACAGCAACTGAAATGGAGGTGTTGGCGAATATGAATGCGTATGCAGTGAAACCATCGTGAAAATAGATGTTGGGTAAACTTAATGAAATCAACCAAATGAAGATTGTTGTTAGAATAATTCTTTTGTTGGTCACTTTATCACGATAAGTATTCGGATTTCTCACAGCCAGATATCGTTCAACTGCCAAACTTGTAAGACTGAGGATTGACGCCGTGCATGAGATGAAGTAAGTCATGTGGGTTAAGATTAGTTCTTGAGGATCCTTATTCTTCCTGAGTCCTTCTTTAATGGTGTAATAAGCCAAGCAAGGCTCAGTAATAACTCCGACCATTAAATCAGCTACTGATAAATTAACGATCAACCAGTTGAATGGAGTTCGTAGGTTTTTGTTCGGATCAAACACAACAGCAAAAATGTTAAGAAGATTGCCTGGGATGTTGGTAAGAATGAAGGCAATTGATATGCTGGCTGTCATAAATGCTAATTCAATTGGAGGTGCGCCTGCCTGACATCTCTCTTCAAAGGTGCTTTCAATGACCATGGTAACAATTCTGCAGAATAAGAAATTAAAGACTTATCAGTGTCACTGTTTTCAGTATATAAATATAACAAAGAAGAAGTGTACATGGCTGCGTGTTCCAGCAATTTCTCATCAAATATGACCTAAGTTATACAAAACACGTCTCGTCGGTCTTGACGTTCAAATTTAGGGATAAAATAAATTATCCGTAAGTGCCCAGTAAATAGTCCTCACAAATAATGTTTTTCAGCAACATAATCTAATTCCATAATTCGGTCAAGACTTTCACAAAATAACAAAAACGTCACTATTGTACAACTGCCGTTTCGCGCCAAAACATAGCTACATAATAATATTTAAACAAAGCAGTTTCAAGCAGTAGCTACAGAGCTAGCCTGTGGTATCGTTTGCAACATGTCGTGTGAAAAAATTGTACAGCGAATTTTGGGAAGTCGGAACTGCAAAAACACTGTACCAGTAGAACTAGATTACACAATAATATAGTTAATGATATAATTAATTTATAGAGGTTTGAGGTGTCTTAATTTCAAATGGAACTATACACACTTCAAATTCAAGCCAGGAACAGTTGATTGAAAAATGAGTCAACTATAGTTCCTCCGGCAGGAATCGATGCCAGTGCAATGCTCTTGCACTGAGCTACATGCAGAGGTAGCTGACAAGAGCAAGCGTGGTTAATGTGTATAGATAGATGGTAATGCCGGGAATAGGTGAGGGAAATTCAATAATGATTTTGGCACTTCACTCGATACAGGACTCATTTTTCCATCAGCTGTTCCTGGCTTGAATTTGAAGTGTGTATAATACCACTCGAAATTAAGACTCTTAAAACCACTAGAATATTCCTGCATCGAGTGAAGTGCCAAAAATCATTAGATAATTTATACACTAGCGGTGAAAAAGAACTGCTCAAAACAAGTTAAAATGCTCTGAAATGAACGTAACTGTCCCCCTAACAATATATACGAGTAAATATAGACTAGATTACATACTAAGCTATATGAAATATTAATCCCCGAGCCGGTGCGGAGCACCGTGCAAGGGTACTAATTCCGCCCGGAGATTAGGAATTACACCCGGGACCCGGGAGAGCATAGCGGAAACCAAAGTTGCCCAAATGTCATGGACGTTCAATGGTCATGGTACTTGTGCGCATGTGCGAAATGCCAACGAGTGTAGACTGGTAATCAGCAACTTCCTGATTGGCTAAGACGAAACGTTTGTGTTTCAGTGAAAAACGTCAGCAATTTAACTGTCATTTTGCAAACTATTTTTTAAAAAAATGTTTTGAAAACAAAATATGAAATGTGGAATCAAATAACAGATAAAACACTGGAAAGAGTTTAAAATATTATCAGAACTGGAGGAATTAGCGGTGAAAAAGAACAACTCGATTATAATCCTTGAAATGGTAGGAGTCTATTTTGTTTATTTCGAGGTTTATTTCGTGTTTGCTGTACGAATACATTTTATGACGTAGGTACAGTATGTCGTTTTGATCGGTTTTGCGAAGACGTGACCGACTATTTAAGGCTTTACATCATCGTTTTAACTTCCAATAGAGTCCTTAACGACTGCAATCACTGCATGAATTTAATAATCGAAAAATAACATTCGACGTTCACTGCTTGGTTATTTATATTATTTGGGCTGTTTTGATGTTTTGAAGGTTTAGCTATAATGGAGTATAAACTCTCACTTAAACTGTGAAAGTCTATAACTTAATGCAACGGAAAGCAGCAGGAAAACGGGTGATTTCACTTCACCTTTACGACTGTGTTTGCTTCCGAAATATTTGAAATATCAGCTATCGGCTTTACATTTAGGACATTTCATATTATTGAAGGTTAGGTCTAGCTAGCTCAGGAAATATTTTGCTTCGTTTGAAATGGCGAGGGGTTGCTGCATGCATGTATTTCTAGTATTTTGTTGACTCTCCTTTGGCCTTATAATTGATGACGGCCTTACACCGGCGTGGCATACTTTCTGTTAAGGTGGTAATCTTCACGGTCAAAAGAAATTCATCCTATGGACAGTCTTTACAGCAACGCATAAATCATGGACGCTTTATGAATGAATTCCTTTCTTGCACTATCCCCTTGACATTGTCCCACAGATTTTCAATAGGGTTAAGGTCTTTTGACTGTGTAGGCCAATCCATTTCTGTCACTCCCTCTTCCTGAAACCATTGTTTAACTATATATCTTGAAAGTGTGGCGAATTGCCTTACATTACTGAAATATTGTTTAGAATAAAAGAATTATACAAAATGCCTATGAAGCTCTCTCCTATATTCGCTTCTTTTTTTATCAATTTGTATCTAAATAGTTCTTTTTGACCGCCAGTGTATATAAATAATGCATACAATTTCAAACCAACTAAGCAATTGCCTGAGCTGGGGAGGTTGAAGCTCATATTATGAAAAGTACATTAACGTACATTATTATATGGCACGCGGTCTCGTGACTAAAATCGCGTGCGCTGATTGGTTCTTTCCCAGTCTGGA